GCTTTGAATATTATATTAAAATGTCGAGGTGAGCATGTATTGAAGTCACTAAATAGATACTTTAAAAGTTGATGAGCCAAAATAAAATAAATTTAAAATACAAGCCATAAAACTTTTTTCCCGCTATTTAAGTAAAATTAAACTAAGTTAAATTGTAATTTTTCCTTCAAATTAAAACTTTTTTAATACAGTACAAGGAAAAATAAACTTCAAATTATTCCTATATAGTTTGAGTAACATATTTTTTAAGCACGAGATAGGGCACTGATCTTTTAAGCTCAAGCACCAAATGGAAAGAGAAAAGGCCTTTGTTTTTTAATTTTTATTCTTTGTACATCAAAATTTTTAATATTATGAATAAATAAGATTATGAAAAGCTTGAGAAATTAGAGATTTCAAAATTTTGATGTCTCATAATTTCTTTGGAAAAATAAAAGGAATAGAATAAGATGAATTATAAGTGAGGCCCACCTTTGCTTTCAAGTTCAAGGACATAACTATAACGTGTGGGTAAATGTCACTTCATATTTTAGTCGTACTTTTCAAAAATATGTATATAGATGTCAATTCATATTTTAACGTACTTAGCTCAAAGAGTAATTTAAAAGTAATTGTAAATTCTAAGAGATATATTATAAGATTCGAATAGATTAGAAAATAAAGTTAAATAACGAGCTTAATTAGTTACTGAACTTTTAAAGTTATGTCTTATAAATTCATGAATTTTAAAATGTATATAATAGCTCTACAAACTTTCAATTTCGTGTTTAATATATCAATCTTATGTCTAATAGGTCAAGATCTTGAATTTTCTATTATGTATATATTCGCGAATTATAAAAAAAAAAGTGTAATAGGTCAACGTCAATGACCTATTAGATACTAAATTGGAGAGTTTAAAAATTCTATACGACACGGAGACCATGTAAAACATTTTCCAAAGTTCATATAAGTATGAGACACATCCTTAAAAATTTATGGACAACCTGTAATTTACCCAAAAAAATAAAATTGGTTCACATTTATTCCAAAGATAAAATGAAGATTTAGAAAAACAAAATTAATTTTAGGATATTTCATTTTCAAGCGTGGGTAAAATCGTAAAAAGTAAGCAAATACAATCCTGTTGCGAATTAGTCTTTATTCCCTGTTTGGAAGTGCTTTTGAAAACGGTCCCAAACACAATCATAGACACAAATATGACAAAGCGACTACGTTGTACTAAAAAGGAATTGGCATGTACCTCTAACTATGGGGTTGAGAGTCGATTTCCACTCCACATGTTGTACTAAAAAAATAAATATTAATTAATTTTTCTTACTAAAATTTTATAAAAAATAATTCTTAAAATTAAATATTCAAAAAAATTTATTTTATATTTTATTTTTAAATATTTATTACATATTTTATGAGTTGAAAATTATAAAATAATGCTTTTATATGTTTTGAAAAATTGAGAGCCGGAACAAGAAACAACAATAAGAAATTTGATTTGGTTTTTATATCTAAAATGGTAAAGTTTCTTAAAAATGTGAAAAAATAATTATCAAACTTATGTTATAAAAAACGGGAAATGAGATATGAGAAACAGAAGAAATAAAAAATAAAAATTGGAATGTTATTGCATGGGCCATAATTTTCATTTTCTAACATTTTTTAAAATATGCTATTTTTCTAAGGGTAATTATAAATTTAATATTTGTTTTTTTCTTCAAAGAAGCATATTATTTAGCAAGTTGTAAAATGATTATTAATATAAATATTAATTAATTATAATCATAACAATCACATATTACCTTACTTTTTCTTAATAAACATATGGGAGTGAATATTCGAACTCTCGACTTAAGTTCTTTAACTAGTTGAATTTTGAATTATGCTCCGAAATGAGATCTCTATTTGATTAAATAGAATTATAATAATGACTAAATTTGTAATTATTTTTGGAAAATGTCCAAGTAGTTATTGCATGAGTTTGAACATTTTTTTACCTACCTAAATTTGTTGCTAGGTTCTGGTATTTCATGGTTTAGTTTCAGATATTTTTGTGGTTTGATTTTAGAGTTTTTTATTTTTATTTTTTATGTGTGATTTTTTAATTAGTTTGGCGAATAGTTATCTAATTTAGTTTTAAAGAAGTATTAAATGCATCACTTATTCGAGTCAGAATTTAATTTGACAAAATTGAAATTTAAGATTAAACTTGAAGTATAAGTGCAAAAATGATTTTTCCCATTATTTTTTATTATCTACTTTTAGGTTATAATTTTATCTAGCTAAATTAAATTAGATATATCATTTTTATTATGTTAATTTTGTAAATTTTTCTTGAATAAATTAGTTCGACTTCGACCTAAATATAATAAATGTAATTTAAGGAAAGAAGATCTCCAAAATTTTAACTCACCTATTATCTTATGCTAATGTGTGCATATAGAAACTTTATTGTTAAGATAGGGTGATTACTTAGATAAACAATACTAATAACAACAATGTAACAATTCTAAAGTACTAAAGTTTTATTAAAGTAACGTCCTAGTTTTGGACTTTGTAATAAAGACAATTATTACATGGACGGATGTTTTATTGATGTAAGGCAGAATCTTGGTTGTTGCATAATTTCTCAAAATTGTTATACTCTAAGATTGAAATAGTAAGCTATTGTTTTGAACAGCTAAATATGGGGGAATCACGCCCAGTGTTCAAAATGTCGATATCGATAAAAATGTCGAGGTCCTGATTTTACGGACATGTCGATGTCGATGGATATTTCGGGAAAAATAATGAAAATTGTGGAAATTAATGGAAAGTTTTTAATTAGCAAAATAAAACTTGAATGGTAGTTTAATTAACATATAATTGATCAACTTTAACCATTAAATGTGAGAATATGACCATGTTACTTATGAAAATGTCGATGTCGATGGAAATATCGAAAAAAGATTTTTTTCTTTAATGAAGATTATGGAAATTATTTGAATATGTAAAGTAAACTTTAATGGTAAACTTTTGACTACTTTTTTAGTGTTTTTCATAATAAAATTCATTTGGAAATGAGATAATTACCGACTTGGTTTCCAAACACATTTCTAAATTCTAATTAACTCGTACATGTTTACTTTTTACCCACTTCTCTTTTCAAATTTGAATTTACACATTTTTCAAACACATTTTCAAATCAATAATCAATCATTCCAATCAAATTTACACAATTTTAAAATACCTCAACCTCGTGATTGTGTCGTTCATCCAAATTATCTACCAATAGGATCCATATGTGTTTCATATTCTACTCATTTGAGCAACTACCTTCAAAACTTTCAGTCTAGAATGACCGGGGAGAACTATTGTAATTTATATCAAAGTTATCAAGATAGTGCACTAGATCCTCTAAGATCATCTTTTTGATATTAATTAAGTTACCTATTCTACTTCATGTTTCACCACGATTTGTATATAATAATATTTTATTTTTTAAAAATTCTAAGATTATTTCAATCTTTATATACGTCAATATTTCACATATATTGTTCAATTGTGTAAGTAAGGACTAGATTGGATTAGAAATTATCAATAAAGCAAATTTCAAATCTTATTAGTTATACTTTATACAATATTAAAATTCAAATGTTTCATTGAACAGACTAAGATTACAATCATCGAGACTGTGAGAAATTATAGATGCAGTGACATAGTAAGAAAATGATGAAAATAAAATAACCTTAAAGAAGAAGAGAAAAAAAAAAGACATGTCGACGACATGGGAGAAAATCGACTTTTCCCCCCCTATGTCGATGTCGACATGCTCGACACGTCGACATGTCTCTCGACATTTTGAACCCTGATCACACCCTATATCATAAACAAATTATTGTTGGTATGTTTGATAGCGTAAAAATAGAATTGTGTGGCGTAAACTAAACTCTCATGGATTCAAGAGTGATAAAATAACATTTTTATTCACGTTTTCCAGCAACTTGAAAATGGAAACAACAAACAATAAACAATAAAATTGATTGTCTTTATTGTTTCTAAAGTTTCTATACAATTTTCAAAATATTTTTTGAAAAAAGTAACATGAATAATTATCAAATACTTAAATTTTTTAATAGAATAATAAAAAAAGAAACGTTATCAAACGTCTTTAATTACCAAATAGTCATATTCTACTTGGCACATATATATATTCTTTTTTGAGACGTACTTCTAGCAACAAATAATAAAATATGGTCCCTCCCATTTGTCATTTGTGACAGTGATGTGTGGTCCAATTATTTCTCTTAGAGAATAATCGTTTTCGTCTCGAAATGCGTCCCTGGATTGTTGTTGGGAGAACCACTTTTATTATTATTTAAAATACAATTTACTTTGAATTAAATCTCTCCAAAGGTACATCTGGTTTAATTATTAGATTTAAATATAAACACGAAGAATTACGTTCCAATAAAAAAATATATTAATCTATAATGACAACTAAAAAGATTTTGTAAAATATAATCGTAGAAATTCAGGGAAACCAAACCTCAACTTATATTATTGATTGAAATGATAAATTTTTTAGTTTAAATTATATTTTGGTGCTTAAATTTTGATGTTTATTTTATTTTGGTGTTTGAATTTTTAAAATATCTATTTTAATGCCTACACTTCAAAAAAAAAAAAAAATCCACTTTGTTGCTATTACGTGGACCTATATTCTAAATATGACTAAATTATTTATAAAAAAGAAAAAGAAAAATGTTTGATAGTTGAACTAAAATAATTATTTTTAAAAATTCAACTCCTAAGCTAAAATAGATATAAAAGTTGAAGAAGAAAATGAAATTTAAATATTTTTTTAACCTCTATTATTTAACAAATATGAATATATGAAAAAGAATTAGGCCTGAAGTGGACACGTGTCGAACAATAATTAGACAAGCACTGCAAATGCTCTCTCATACTTTATCGGTGACTTCAATCCACTTACGGTCAACTTGTCTCTGCCCAATCACTTACTTTTCCTTTTTCTTTTTACCAACGATCTCTTAGCTTCAAAGTATTGGTAGATATTCCACGCATTTGCAGACCAATAGAAAACTCTCTTAGAACTTGGAAGTTGGAGCTCCGAAGGGGACGGCCATGGCGGAATCTCGGCGCTCATTGGGCCTCAACGGCTTTCTGTTTCTCTCGCACGTTTCAATTTCTGTCTTCGCCTGCTTCTGCTTCCTAGTGGCTCAATCGGCTCCCGAATCCGCTCTCGTTGCGCGCCTCCCTGGCTTCTCTGGCTCCTTCCCTTCCAAGCACTACTCCGGGTACGGATTCGTCTGCATAATTCTTTTTTTTTTCCTTTTATGTCTGAGGTTGATTTGTGGTTCCGATTTGCGGAATTTTGAAGGTATGTGGAGATCGATAAAAGCCATGGGAGGAATCTGTTCTACTACTTTGTTCAATCGGAGAGGAATCCGGTGGAAGATCCGGTGGTTCTGTGGCTCAATGGCGGCCCTGGTTGCTCCAGCTTCGATGGCTTCGTTTACGAACATGGTAGGGCATTGCTTTCTTTGACTCATTCATATTCATTAATTGCTCGGCTTCTGCTTGATTTTTCCCCCTTTTCTATTATCTTTGTTTTGGCCTGAAGGAACTGAAATGAACCGAATCGAACCGGAACCATCTTCTTTCTGAACCGTCTCTTGCCAATTTTCTTTTTAGTTAAATATGTCCATTTGAAATTGGGATGGTGAAATTAACACGTTAAAGGCGGTTTGCTTCATGAGAATTTAAGATTGTAGATGGCCGGATGTCTGAATTCTCACGATATTTTGCTAGTTTCTAAGATTTCCGTATTATTGCTTTTTATTTTAATAAAAACGAATCCCGTATTATTGCTAGTTTCTATTTTTTTCGTATATATATATATATTTTTTTTTGAAAAATACTTGACGGCTCCTTAGCAACTTTTTCTTTTAACACAATTCATTATTTTTTAAATTTTGTTCAAGTATTTAATGGTGTTTTTTTAGAGAAAAAATATTGATATTGAGAATTTTATATTATTTTTTTTAAAAAAATCTTATATTAATATGAATTAATTTGTTCTGCAACATAAAATATAAAAATTAATATATACACATTGATATAAAAATAAAATATTAAATTAATAAAAATAAATTAACAAATTATATTAAATTAATGTATAATTATATAAATATTCCTAAGGACATTTTTGAAACATTATATAAATTTAATATACGTCTAAATTTAATATTCTCGAGACGTAGATGCCTCTTATATTTGCCTATAAAATATTATCGCAAATGCCCTTATATTCTACATTCTTGAAAAACAGTGTCTTACTGCTCCATGCAATGCTAAATTATCATTTTAACTGTTTATGTTTGATTTTAATTTAGTCTAATTTTAAAAGTTTTTTAGAGGTTGGTTAATTTTAGACGGTACAGAAACTAAAAATTGTATTTTAACCTATAACTATGCAGTATTACAAATTTGCCCAAAAAAAACTTGACATTTTTGGAGATTCAACTAAAATATAGGGATCCAATTGAACTTTTTGGATCTAACTTAATCTATAAGTTTAGTTATTAAACTTTAATTTTGTCTCAGGTCAATAATTTGGAATGCGTTTTTAAAATCTACGTACTTATTAGACACAAAATTGAAAAATAAAATTTAATAGATCTATGAAATTTAAATCTCCACTCCACATGTTCTTAAAATATATGTATGTCTGTATAGTGCTTACCAAAATAGCAACCACTTTTTCAAAGCAAAATATGAAATTCGAACCTACTTAGAACAATATAAAAATCTAAAAAAGTAAAATCAGAATAACTGAAAAAACAATTTTCAATATTTTGGTCATATTTTTAAAATCCAGTTGCTATATTGGTAAATATTTAACCTTTGTTTGTGATTGTGAAGGCCCATTCAACTTTGAAGCAGCAAACACAACCGATGGCCTTCCGAAGCTTCATCTTAATCCATACAGCTGGTCGAAGGTTCGGTTCGGTTTTATTTGATTTTCCTTTTCTTTTTTGGGATTTTGAGCTCTCAATGGTTGGTTGGTTTGTTTGTGTGTTATAGGTCTCCAACATTATATATTTGGATTCACCTGCTGGCGTTGGTCTGTCTTACTCAAACGATGAATCTGATTATACTACTGGTGATCTGAAGACTGCTTCTGATTNGTAGGGCATTGCTCTGTTTGGCTCATATTCATCAACTGCTCTGTTTCTGCTTCTGCTTGATTTTTCCCCCTTTTCTTTTATCTTTATTTTGGCCTGAATGAACTCAACTGAACCAAACCATATTTACTTGGAAAATACTTGGTTGGAGCAATTTATCTTTTAAAAATTTTACAACTCATTGTTTATTACATCTCAAATATTTAGTTGTGTTTTTCTCAGGAAAGAAAATACTAAAATATTATTTTGGTCCATCTACTTTTAACCTCCGTTCATTTTCATGTCTACTTTGAAAATATTCATTTTCCTTCTTATACTTTTAGCTTTGGTGTATTTTAGTCCATGTACTTTTGAAAATGTTCATTTTGGTCACTATAATTTCAAAATGTTTATTTTGGTCCTGTACTTTTAAAAAATGATCATTTTAATTCCTCTCTGCAAGATTTTAACACAAATTTTACACCTAACGAAAACTATTTAGTATAAAGTAATGTTTACTTTTTAAGAAATATATTTATGGTAATGTGGTGTTTCAATTGTGACGAAACAATGAGATTTAAAATAAAATGAAAGGACCAAAATAGTTACTTTTTAAAAGTAAATAGACCAAATAAACATTTCCAAAGTACAATAATTAAAATGAACCAAATCTGAAAGTACAGTCACCAAAACGGTAGCGCTAAGGAAGAAATTGCTCCTACTATTAGGGAGCTAAGTATTTTCATATTTTATTTCATCATCCAATTACATTTTTGTCTTTTCATTTTTTATTATTTTTAATTTTATAATTTAAATAAATTAATGTACCTGTGGACTAATTAAGTATATTTATATATTACATTTACATATAAAATAAACTTCAATTAAATTATATAATATCTCTACTTATTTTTAATATTTTGAATCGATTTTTTTAGTACAAAACATTTTTAACATTGAATTATTAATAAGGTTAAAAAACACATTTGGTCATGTATTTTCACTAAAGTAATAATTAAGTCACTGAACTTTAGTTTGTAACGATTTAATCTCTGTATTTTTCCTCAAATAATAATTTAGCTCCCGAATTTTAACTTGTAACGATTTAGTCATTGTCGTTTAAAATTTGTAATAATTTAGTCTCTATCGTAAAATTTTTTATTAAAAATAAGTGTCATATTTTATCAAATAACAATTTAATCTTTTTAATTCATAAATATATTTGGTCATTTAGTTTATCAATCTATGCAAATAGGAAACTTAACAAAAAAAAAATCACGATAAGCACCAAATCGTTACCAACTTTAAATTACAAACACTAAATTATTACATATTAAAATTCAAGGATTAAATTGTTATCAATTTAAAATTACAGGGATTAAATCGTTATATACTAAAGTTTAAGAACTAAATTGTTACTTTAGTGAAATAAGAGAGACTAAAAGTATTTTTTAATCTTAATAATATTTATTAACTTAAAATATATAATTTTAAAGAAATATTTTTTTAACAACCATCATAAATTTGATATTATTTTCTTCTTAAAAAAATATAATTTAATAATATGATAAATAAATTTCACTCAAGAATAACATTAATTATATAATTACCTTTTTGAAAAAATATTAGAGTTGAAAATGAATTTTATATTTAATATTAATTATTTTTTTAAAACCTCATATTAATATGAATTAATTTGTCCTACAAAATAACATATAAAAATTAATAGATATAAAAATAAAATATTAAATTAATAAAAGTAAATTAAAAAATTATATTAAATTAATGTATAAATTATATGAACATTCATAACGGCATTTTTGAAACTTTACATAAATTTAAAACGTTCTCGAGAATAAATTCGACAAAATAAATATAAATATCTAAATATTCTCATATATCCTTATCAATTTTCTTACGATGCCACACCTATAAATTTATGAACATATGTTAGGTATCTACATTCTCGAAAAATAAATAATCCCTTGCTGCTTCCTTCACCGCTAAATTATCATTTTAATTGTTTATCTTTGATTTTAATTTTGTTCAACTTTTAAATTTTTTTTAAAGGTAGTTAAGAGTGTAAAAAACTAAAATAGAATAAGTTTGAACTATGGGGTAAAATGGTATTTTAACCTATAACTATGTAGTACTTTAAATTTCCCCTAAATAAAAAACTTGACATTTTGGAAAATTTAACTAAAATATAGGAATTAAATTGAAATTTTTCTATCCGAGCTGATCTATAAATGTAGTCATTGAACTTTAATGTTGTGTCTTATAGGTCAATGACTTACTATGCCGGTTTTTAAAATACACGCACTGCTAGACACAAAATTGGAAAGTAAAATTTAGTCATGTATCTGATCTATGAAGTTTAGAAATGAGCCGATTCAAGACTTATTGGACACAAAATTAAAAATTCATGTATGTTTTAGATCGTTTTTAAATTAAGAGACCTACTAGACCTCTGCTGGCCGCCAAAGTCTAAATACTAATAATTTAACCTCCTAAATCCTAATGACTAAAATATATAACTGAGTAAGATGTATATAAGATCATAGGTTGAAATCTCTACTCCCGCGTGCTTTGAACTATATATGTATATATATATTAGCAAATTCAGTTGATAGATTGGCAAATATGACAAATATTTAACCACTGAGTTGGTAGTTTGGGGATTTCTAAGGAGCCGTTTCTGTGCTTTGTTTGTGATTGTGAAGGCCCATTCAACTTTGAAGCAGCAAACACAACCGATAGCCTTCCCAAGCTTCATCTCAATCCATACAGCTGGTCGAAGGTTTGGTTTGGTTCGATTCGGTTTGATTTTTCTTTTCTTTTTTTTGGGGGGGTTTTAAGCTATCAATGGTTGGTTTGTTTGTGTTATAGGTTTCCAGCATTATATATTTGGATTCACCTGCTGGCGTTGGTCTGTCTTACTCAAACGATGAATCTGATTATACTACTGGTGATCTGAAGACTGCTTCTGATTCACATAAATTCCTTCTTGAGGTACTGGTTCTGTTTGGTAGTG